CTCCTTCTGCATGTTTCTTTAGCACATCCTTCACCCAACACAGAAGAGGCACTTTGCGCCAGGCACTATTCCAGGCGTTGGGTTATAGTACTCAGTAAGACAAATGAGGGCCAGACCCTCATAGAGCTTACATTGTTACATTGCAAAGAATACATAACAAATACACTATAAGGTGATGTAGGTGGGTGGGATGCTACTTGGGAGTGATCAGAGAAGCCCTCTTTGAAGTGACTTTTTTTTTTTTTTTTGCGGTACGCGGGCCTCTCACTGCTGTGGCCTCTCCCGTTGCGGAGCACAGGCTCCGGAAGCGCGGGCTCAGCGGCCATGGCTCACGGGCCCAGCCACTCTGCGGCATGCGGGAATCTTCCCGGACCGGGTCACGAACCCGTTTCCCCTGCATCGGCAGGCGGACTCTCAACCACTGCGCCACCAGGGAAGCCCTGAAGTGACATTTGAAGATGTGGGGGAAAAGCATTTGCTAGTCAAATGTCCAGGGCTTGAACAACTTGGAGATTTGAAGGAAAACCACAAAGGCTGGTGTGTTTAGGGAGCAGCGAGTGAGAAGAGTGATTGGATTAGGTCACAGAGGTAGTCAGAGGCCAGGTCATGAAGGTCCCTGAAAGCCATGGTAAGGACTTTGGATTTCATCTTGGGTAATGGGAAGAAAAGGGAAGGTTTTAAGTCATCAGTTGTATTGATTTCCTTGTTCAAAAGAACAGTCCACTCTCCTTTTTGAGAAACGATTGTAGGGGTCAAGGGTGAAAGCAGGGTGACTAAATAGTTTATTGTAGTAGGTGATGGAGGTTTGGGCATGAGTAGTAGTAACTATGGGAAGTCAGTAGATTACTCATATATTTTGAAGGAATTTCCAATAATCACTGTTGATGGATTGCGTTTGGAGGATGAAGAGAATGGAGAAAGCACAGAGGTCTCCCAACTGTCTCTTTTGAGTAGTAGCGTGAATGAAGTACAATTCACTGAGGAGGAGGAGGAGACTGGTGGAAGAACAGATTTCTTTATTTTGGGGGAAGGCAAGGAAGAAAATTTTAAATTACATTTGAGCATGTTTAATTATATCATGCCCACTCAATAATTTGTAATTGAACTATATGATTTAAGGTTCACCCAAATCTGTGCAAGAATAAGCCACATTATAACAAAGTGCCATGCTATCTGGGAAATTAGAATTAATGACGTGTATTTAAAGTATAAGTTCTTAAAGCAAGTTAGTGTTTCTGTTAGGATAATTGCTACCATTTATTGAGGGGATTTTATTTGTTTGAGCCATATGAAATTACAGATATTGACAATTTTGAACTTGAAAATGGCAATGCCATATGGTTCGTCTCTGTATTTACTGGCCATAGAACTATTTATTTATATATAAGTGAAAGAATATTCACAAAACCCTTAAGATAGGCTTTTATTAACATATGATTGATAAAATGGAAGTTCTGAGTTACATAACCTGCCAAAAGTCTGATGACAAGTAAGTAGGCAGGCAAGAATCAAAACAAGGTCTTTCTGACATAGCATCTGGACTCTTGGTCACAAAGTTACACCACCCAGATTTTCAGCCAGAGGCATGCTGCCTTCCCCTAAATGTGAAAAGCTTCAGATCCAAAGGACAGATATACAGACACAGAGTGCTTGGTCTGATGGGATGAAAAATTGCTGACTGTCGCCCTCCTATAGAGAGCCAAATCCAAGTGGACCTTACAAGTCAGCATTGCATTTTAGAAGTAAATACAATGAACAAAGAGAAATCAGACAGTGAGTTAACACTATTAAAGGTTGCTCAAAAATGCCCATCAAATTCATTTCTTCAAGAAATTTCCAGCTTCTCTTCCACATTTATCACCTAATGTCTCTACTATACAAAAACATTAAATATAAAACAAGTGATTCTAACCTCAGAAAAAATCTAATGCCGCTAGCTGGAGCATATTACCAGTCAACAAGCTGTGACCACTTTTATCAACTGTCTTATAGCACATTTAATACCATACTCTCAAGCATCTCTGTACAGTATGAAAAGTGGTACTACCAGTGAGGGAGAGTCAGTATGGAAATAAGTAAAATATGTTATCAATTATAGGGACTTCAAGCTTTTCCCTCTTTACATAGTTTCTAGGTTATCTATATTTCAGTAAAATGAAGAAACTCTTCATATATTTATTCTAACAGTACCTGTGAATCAATTAGGAACTCTATAAGGACAGAATGGCTACGTCTGTTTGATTAGTTAGTAATTAGCTATTTAAATCTAAGGTGAAAAAAAAGTTTACAGGACTGAAAAGATTTCTGTCCACTCGTGGGAAGAATATTTCCCACATAGCTCTTGCATTGAGAGTGTCAGTTAGAGTCAGTGGTCCTTGGTGGTGAGCAGTAGAAATAGTCACTTAATTAAATCACACTCCTGCTAATATAAAATTGAATTTTCAGTTTAATAGTGAAATGAATCTGTTCTTCAGTAATGTATGGATTAGGGGCCGAGTATAGTAGCTATTCCCCAAATTGGTCCAAAAAATAAGGGTAGTACTTATAAATCTCTAAGTTCTCAGCCAGCTTTGATAGTATTTTAATAATAATAAGTACTGCATCCTTACTACTTCCACATGCCATGCTATGTGCTTTATCAATATCTTTTCATTTAAATCTAACAACCCTATGAGATAGGTTATACCCTTGTTTTGACCAAAACTTAGAGATGTTAAGTAACTTCCCAAGGTCCAGTAGTGCAGAGTTGGGATTTAAACTCAGCTCTTTGACCTCAAAACCCCTGTATATATAATGGTAGAGCTAATTACTATGACTTCACTCTTAGTGGGAGTGGTCAATGGCAATCCTTGTATTATAAAGGTGGCCAGAGAGTCCAGAATCTTGAACCCAACCTGAGAACTGGCTGTGTGTGGTCCTTTTGGTGATCCTTTTTATTCTTCAGAAGTTACATATGTGGGCTTCCCTGGTGGCACAGTGGTTGAGAGTCCGCCTGCCAATGCAGGAGACACGGTTTCATGCCCCGGTCCGGGAAGATCCCACATGCCGTGGAGCAGCTAGGCCCGTGAGCCATGGCCGCTGAGCCTGCGCATCCGGAGCCTGTGCTCCGCAACGGGAGAGGCCACAACAGTGAGAGGCCCGCGTACCGCAAAAAAAAAAAAAAGTTACATATGTGACTTTCATATTCAAAGTTTTTCTACAATTAGTTTCTCTGAAAAATAATTATTTTGTGGTCTAAATCAATATTTAGTCAATCAAATGTGTCTGATCACTAATAGAGATGGATTATTTAGTAATTTTCTTGGCTTTGGCAATAATGCAAAAAACACATAGTAGGAAAGAATTGTGGCAGGATACCCCTTCAAAGTATTAATTTCTGGGTTTTCCCTCTTCTCCCAGACTGTGTAAATGATTAGCCATGTGTCATAAGAAAATCAAGACAACAAATATTCAACCATTAGCTTTCAAAAAAGCTACTGACTAAGCCCTACATGGAAAGATTGAGGTACATTCGGATAGAGCTTTTGCTCCCAGAGATGAGATAAAGTATGCTTTCAGAGTGAAGGGAACAGTGGGAGAGGAGAAGCAACGTGGACAAGAAGGCCCATGGGAAAGAGACCCCAAGTTCTCTCCAGAGCCTCACTGCTACTTGCTCAGAGCCAGGGCGCTGCCTAGAAGCTGAGGCAGAGCTGAGTTGGTCCTCTCGTCATTCTGCAGGCTCCACATTCACCAGTAGTCAGCCCACTGTCCATCGTTTGTCCAGTTTCAAGGGCTGCTTGCCTTTGTCTTGAGAATCTTCTTCTGATTAACCATCCCTTGGGAATAATCCCTCGTCTAACAGCCCAGGACACTCATAAACACCATTTTGCTCCCCTTTCTGTCCCCAGATTAGAAAGTAGAAGACTTATAGTCCTGGATGGGTAACAGTGCAGAAGCCTTGGACACTTTCTAGAGCAATGCTGATGACAGCCAGAAGGGAAATGTTTAGTCCAAAGAAAGCAGGATTGTTGAAATCAATGTGAAATCATCCACTGAGCCAGGGTGCACAGGAATGCACTACCCCATTACAGAGTGTTAAGAAGTGTCTCATCACAGGCAGAGAATGTTAGAGTTGGAAGAGAACTTGGAGAACATCTAGCCTTACCCTTCCACATAGCAGAGGAGGCCCCGAAAGGAGACCTGACTTTTTCCAGGTCAAACAGCAGATTAGTGGCTTAGCCAGAACCAGAAATAAGATGTCCTGAGTGAGTTTAATTCTCTTTCCACTGAACAGCACAGGCAGATCTGGCTTGGGAGCTCTTTCTTAGGTGGTGGATTTTTCTCTGATCCTCCCTTAAGTTGTAAGTTGAATGGAGGACCCAGTTCCTAAGTTCTTAAAAGGCCAAATTCAGTAGCTCCACAGGGATGCCAAAGTTAAGGTTTTTGTTGGATTAAATTAGCTTGTTACCATAAGATATAGTGAAGACATTTTTTAAAAAACTGGAAGAGCCTTAACTGCTAATAGACAGTTTCTCTTTCATAGAAACTGTACAACACTGTTCACATTAGCCCCCAGGTGCCTGAAACAGAGTGGCAGAATGCATTCAGTGCTGTTGAAGAAAATCCAAGCTTCTTTCCCCATGATAAATGAGGAACTGACCTTCCTTATAGCTATGCCTGTATTCTTCTGCTTGTTCTTCCATGAATACTTATGTCACTAGAATTTTTACAGGTGGAAAAGGAGGGTAGCATCCTATTGCCCAGCATTTCTCTAATGTGATCACTTTGTAATTTATACTCCCCACAACAATTTATCTTTGGATATTTCAGTGGCTTCATGCCACTCACCATTATTAGACAACAAAACTCATCAGCCTGCACTTTCTACATTTGCTCTTCCTGGGTTTCTGTTTCCTTTATGTCTTTAGAAACTTTTTCTTTTAGAAGAATGCTAGTCTTTCACCCCACTTTATGTATGTCAGTGTATTTAACAGTTTCTTTTTTGTAGCAGATTAAAAACTTTAAACACTTCTCTTAGAGAGGTATTGATGGAACCTTCAAATAAAATCTTTGTTTATAGAACACAGGAATAGCTGGATATTAAATCAAAAAATGTTTCTCATAAATATTAAGTTGACTCCCAATTCACATTTTACACTCTTATTAACATTTCACACATTGTTTCTGTTCAACCAATTTCAGAACTTCATGAAAAAGTTGAGTGGTAGGTTGGGTAATAGGGTAACATAATGGGAGCCTTTTTTCCGAGGCTGGCATGTGAATAAAGTACCTGCAAATCATAAAATGAAACAAAATAGAGAGCTTTAAAAGCAAGACTTTTCACACTGGTCACATCAGTACGTACACACTTACTGGTGTAGCGTTGTTGGGTGTGGGAGTCTAACCTGCAGCATTTTTAGCCCTCCAATCTCCCCCATTTGTGACCTAGAAGACCTCTGATATGTATACCTTTCAGCTCATTGAAGCACTTTGCTTCAGCAAAGCGAATTGCATTAATAATGTATCAGTTATCAAAGCATTAATAAGGAAGCTGAGGCTCCTGCCTCTTGTTTTCTCAGGCTGTACATAGCAGGGAGTTGAAATGAGTCAAGCTGGGGTGACCACTAGGGCCAAATCAAGAGGGAAGAGGAGAGTTCGTCCCCACGGCCTGAGTAAGAGTACAGTTGACCCTTGAACAACATGGGTTTGATCTGCATGGGTCCACTTATTGGATTTTTTTCAATAAGTATACAAAAATATATGTCTAGAACATCGTGAGCAGGACTTATAGAAATATGTGTTAGTAATATGTGTTAATAAAATATGTGTTAATAAACTTTATGTTATCGGAATGGCTTCTGGTCAGCAATAGGCTATTAGTAGTTAAATTTGGGTGGAGTCAAAAGTTATATGTGGATTTTCAACTGCATGGGGGTTGGCGCCCCTAACCACAACATTGTTCAAGGGGCAACTGTATAGCAAAGGCCAGGGAAGAGACAAAAGTAAGAAAATCTTTAGCCAGCCTCTCGGATGGCTTAAAATATTAGTTGTCAACCCTGGATGCACATTGGAATCACCCGGACAGTTCATTTTAAATGTCAATGCCGAGGCGCAACCCCAGACAAACTGAACAGAACTTCTACATGTGAGACCTGGGTATCAGTATTTTTTAATAGTCCCTCTACTGATTCTATGCAGGGCAGGTTGAAAGTCACTTGTGTAAAAACAAGGATCACAAACCTAAATGCCCACAGATAACATAGTAGGAGGAACGGTACGAGTAAGGACAGAGAGAGGAGACAGTGGCAAACTAAACAGTGCATGATCTACCTAAGAAGGTAGCTGCTTTTGAGCCCTGACCAACTATTGTCATGTAGGCATGTGACACTATTTTTGCCATTGTTCTGATTTTTAAATGTGCATAACTATTTTTTAAAAATTCGTTTGTGTGATCCATGCTACAACATGGATGAACCTTGAAAACATCATGCTAAGTGAAAGAAGCCAGACACAAAGGCCATATGTTGTATGATTATATTTGTATGAAATGTCTAGAATAGGCAAATCCACAAAGACAGAAAGTAGATTAGTGGTTGCCAGGGCCTGGGGTGTGACTGCTTCATGGGTAACAGGTTTCTTTGAGAGTGATGAAAATGTTTGGCAATTAGATAGGGGTGATGGTTGCACAACATTGTGAAATGTATTAAAAGCCACTGAGTTGCACACTTTAAAATGTTGAAAATGGTGAATTTCATGCTATATGAATTTTACCTCAAAAAAAGTGAGGAAAAAATTGGGTTGCGTGCACCACCTCAGAGTGGGCCCAACAAAACTCTTTTATGGGAGCCAGAGTGGAACCTATGGTATAAAACCACATGGAGGAAAAACAGGATCCACAGTTGGACTGTAACATTTTTTAAAGCAAACCTTCAGGCCATAATATATGCCTCCACATCCTTGTATGTCTCCATCCAAACTGGTAGCAAAGCTATGCCTGCTGCACCCTTTTCATCTTAAGTTAGACACAACCTAGGGTTTTTTTCCTTGATAGGTGCTAATGCAGGGGTGTATGGCTAAGTGCATTTGGCTTTGGCAGCCTATAAATAGAAGTAGGAACCCCCGAGGTGCAGGACAAGCTAACTAATGAAACAAAGGCTTGCTAATGTTCTTTCTTACTATTTTGTTATGGAGAGTAAGAGAGGGGTAAATGAAACAAACAAACAAAAAAAAAACCCTAATAACTGTATTCATCGTTCCTCCTTTATCAATTGTTTTTCTTTCCCAGTGACTCAGTTAATTCACAACCCATAATATATTGTCTGCTTTAGTAGGGTCGGTTACTTCCCATTACTCACAGCATGTTAAAATCATTAACATGATTCTGTGAGATAGATGCTGGTTGAAATCAAGACAATGAGGGAGAAACAGTTCTTCAGAGAGAGCTTTGATGAAAAGACTAGTGAACTAGCCTTTTTTGGCCTGGGAATGTGCTTCAAGTGGCAATGGTTCTTAGAGCACCACCCGCCCCCCTCCCCCAAATCCTACCTTACCACAGTAAGGTAACTATTTTATCAAAGTAAAATATTATTAAAAACAAAAAGTAGAATTTCCCTTTGTCACTTAATCTTCTAAATATTGGGCAGTGTTGTAGTTTTGCATGAAAATCAGAAATGAGTGGATTTTACTGCAGATAAGATTCCGACTTTTTCTTACCTGAATTCTTCTCTGTAGTCATTCCTAATATACTCAGCTAAAGTCTTGCTGTACTGCAGGCAGCTCTTGAGGATGTAAAACTGCTGGTATAACAGAACTGCTTGGCCAGGACTTAGCAGCTGAAATGAAGCTGAAAGCCCCTTCACCACTCGTTTCACAATTCTGGCCACAAAAGTAATCTAGACAAGGAGAATGCAGTTACACGTGGGCTGCATGACACCTGTAAGAGCACCTACTTCAGCTGGAATCTCAACTATAAATCTAGGCTGAGGCCCTCACCACCCTTACACCAATGCCCTTGCATTGTGCTATTTCTTATTGAAATGGTACTCAGAGAGCACCAGACCATAGACCAATTGGGTTTACCAATTGCCCCCCTACAGGCAGGGTCAGAACTAGTACTGACTGTCAAAGAAGTTTGGCTCCAAAGTGGAAGGAGAGCATTGGAAGTATAAATTTAGGCCACTGTTAAAAACAGAAAGGAAAGCTAGTGCTTTCAGGCTCTAGTAAGCAGGTCATTCTGGATGCCCCTTAAATTAGTACCAATAAATGTGGCCTTTTCTATTGATGTTGCTACAGACCATTCCCAAGTAGGGCAGGTGATTAGAAGTGAGGTTTCCCCAATTCAGATCCATTTACACATATTGACTAGGTATTGTGTTGGGCAAACGCAGATTGAGGTCAGAGAGTCTGGAGCAGGGAAACAAAGCAATGGCCATATAGGGATTAAATTTTTAATTTCTTTAGCATCTTGCTCCGACCAAGTAAGAGAATCAGCCAGCGCTGACTGGGATGGTGCATTCAATGATCCCAACAGGTTCCTTGCTTGCAAATTTCTCTCAAATGGTCTGTTTCTATCCAGACTCTTTAGAAATGGGTTAATACCTTTAAACAGTGTTAGTGGTCCTTTTGCCATCTTTCATCCTGACATGCTTTATGGTCACAGTCTGGGCTCATAATCAACTCAGTTCCTTTGGTGAACCAACCCTAGAGGTTGATAAGGAAACTTTCCTGTTGCTTGTAGTTTTTAGGACCCCGTCTGGAACCACCGCACAGAAAAAGGAAGGGTTTTGCATCTTGCACATAAGAGCTTCTGGGCTGGGAATGACTATAACTGTACAACACTCTGAAGTGGGCCTGAGATTGGTTGGGGTCTATGTGCTGCTAAAGGAGCCAAGTTCTTGAGTTCAGTCTCTGTATAAGGTAATTGGCTGTACTACTGACAAGTGTACCCTCTGCCTTCAGCCAAGTTTTTGGAAACATATGTCACAGAGATCTGGCAAGAGAATCTAGATTCCCTAGGACAGACTCAACATCACTCTAGAAAAATACCTCAAAGCAGAAAATCACTGATGGTTAAGAGAGGCATCTTCATATACGGAAAGAGAACATAATACCACATGTCAAATCCTCCATTAGCAACGAAAATTCAGTTTGGGTTACTACCTTTTGAAAAGTTCCATTTAAATTCCATTTAAATCTATGTTGATTGAATAGACAAATACGTGAATGAATAAAGGGAAAGTAAGTTTGGCGACATGAAAAGAGATTAGGGGATAAAGCATTTATTAGAATTAATTCAGCAGATATTTTATTTAGCATCTATTGCGTGCCTAGCACAACAGACATAGCTCCTACCCTTACGGCACCTGGAGTCTGTTTGGGGAGAAAGACACTGTATCGATCGTGATAGACTAAGTTATGCTGTGGTAATAAATCTCACAAAACGTCAATGATTTGCTTAATACAACAAAGGTTTATTATTTGCTCACACTGTATGTCCCTTAAGGGTCAGTAGAGGGTTCTGCTCATTGTAGTCACTCAGGACCATACGGAGTGTTGCCAGTCACCATGCCAGAAGGAAAAAAGAAGGCAGGGAAGCATGCACTGGCTCCTAAACCTTTGCGCAAGAAGTGACGTAGGTTACTTCTGCTCAGATTCCATTGGCCAAAGCAAAAACAGAGAGCCACCTAATTTCAAGTGGGGAAGGATGTACGCTCCTACTACGTGCCTGGAAGGAGAGAGAGCCAGAATATGTGTGGACACTAATGGCTACCACAAGAAAGAACCAAATAATAATAACACAAACACATGTGACTGCAACAGTGACAAGTCCTATGAAGAAAAGGAAGAAGACGCCATGCTACGATTGTGTGCCCATAATGGGGGAATCTTACCTAGTCAGAGGTGAGAGAATCATCCCCCCAACCCTGCACCAGGAAGGGGCACTGAGGCCTGAAGGACAAGTAGGGGTTAACTAGGTGGAAAAGGGAGGGGAAAGTGTTTGAGGAGGGCAGACCGAGGGAATGGTAAAGATCCTGTGGCAGAGTTGGGGGTGTTGGGGGTGAGCAGTGGGTATGAGACCGACATGGAAGAGTGAGGTAACTGATGAGGCTGTAGGGTCGTAATATGTACAGCCTTGTCGGCCATATTAAGAAGTTTAGTCTTTATCTGTTATATCTTTCTTTATTACGAGAGATTTAAAGCAAGGGATGACATAATCAGATTTTTATTTTGAATAGGTTCCTCTGACTGTAGTCCGGTGGGAAGATAGGACAGACCATGTAGATGCAATTATAGTGCCAAGGAGAGAGATGGTGATATTACAGACCAGGATGGTGGCTGCCAGGGCAGAGTGGCCAGAGTATTAAAAGTGTTATATTCGTACTTGCCAACTCACACTCAGTGTTTAAGATAAATGTTCATTTTTTCCACTTAATTATACAGCCAGTATTTTAATATTCTGTTTTCTGCATATATCTTAGGGCTTTTCATTAAATAAAGATCACATTTAAGATGTCATTTCAGTACCTTAAACATTCAGGCCCCAAATATAAAAACATTTTATTTTGGTTAATAAAATCATCAAATTTACATTTTCTTCTGTTTTATAAACTTGACTACTTACAGAGAAATTTTGTTTTATTAATTAAGCACAAGAGCATCTGTTTCATTAGCCTTGAGTGGTAGTTTTGTTTCTGCTTCTAGGTACTTACTATGGGAGGACGACTTTGTAGAAAGGGCATCATCCAGCTAATAGCAAACTTTGATGACCCCAATCCAAGATTTCCCTAAAAGATTCAAGGAAATAAACAAGTTATATTCATGAAGTTCAAGTTGTAAAAAGATACCTAAAAAGATACTCATTCTCAAATACATTTTATCCTGATTAATCAAATCTTTAAAATAAGTATTTAGGAAAATAAGCTAGATGAACACTTAAGAGCAAAAGCAGTACTATCATTTAAATCAACCAATTTTGGAGATTATCTCTAACACAAATATTTTTAAGGTATATTATTAATCATATATATATCATATGATAGTCATGACATATTTAATAATCACACAATACAGTATGTATAATAAAAACGTACCTGCTGAAAGACAAGAAGTATCTCATATAAAAGTGCTGTAGCTGTATCTGTATATTCCAGGATAAGCTTCTGTAACTAGAATTTTAAATAGTAATCAATGCAATATCATTGGCAAAGCCAGAAAATGATCATTTCTCCTGGTTCTCTTTAAGTATTTATAAAAGAATTTATGATCAACAAAAAATATTAGTGTGGTTAATTTTCTTGTTCTGTTTGATTCAGTCATTCTCAAAAAAGTGGCTCTCATAAAATGAGTGCACATTTAATAATGGCTAAGAAAGTAGGTCAGGGAAAGAAGATACAAGGTCCTACAGAATACTAACACAAAAAAAATTGCACACTTAATTTGCAAAATCATTCAGATCAGCAACCCTGCTTCCTTTCAAGAATGTAGAAATTTGCTTCCCAGAATTAAAGTGGGAGATTCTCTGGGGAATTTAGTCTTATGCCCAACTTGAAGGATAACTCCTTCTGTGGTATGGGTAAATATAGGGTTAGAGACATTTTGCTGCTGTTCTCAAGAAATCCAAACAGTTGGTGAAGCTGTCTTCTAGCCCATAGGCCACTTGGTGCATGAGAAAGAACTGTGTCTGTAGGCATGCTACAGGCCAACACATTTTCCCTGGCGGTATTCTTTGCAAGGAAGAGCTCTATTTTGAAATCTCCCACTCTATTAGACCTTGGAACCAGAATTTATATGATTTGCTCATGGCTTCACTAATAGCCCAGGTGCAAAAGGTCAGCAGATCCAAAAACAGGAAATTCAGACCTATTTATACTGCCCACTAAATATTTTCATATGGAAATATCAAAGGCAAATCAAATAAACTAATCCAAAACCAAGCTCATTATTTCCCCTTTAAACCTACTCTTCTTGTTGTAATTCTTATCTGTCACCCAGGCCAGAATCTAGAAGTCATCTAATCTTAACTCTTTATCTTCCCTTATCAACTCAGTTTCCTAAAAATTTCTGGAATCTTTCCTCTTCACAACTACTATCCCTTTTTTTCATTTATTTATTCAACAAACATGCATCAGACACTGTACTAGTTGGAGTACTGTACTGTACTAATGGAGAGTAACAAGAGACATGGTTCCTGCCCTCATGGAACATACAGTCTAGTGGGGAACAGACATCAGTCTAATAATCACCTAAATTGCATAGTTACAAACTGAGACAAGGGCTCTGAAAAAAACACAAGAAGGTAGGAGAGCTCTAAAAAGAAAGCCTAGTTTTGTTTAGGGGTCAAGGAAGGCTTCCTTCTTGCCCATATCATCCCTCACCTGAACTACAGCACTAGCTTCTTAACACCTCTGTCTGTCAGTCTTGCTTCCATCCTCCTCTTTCATCCCTAATTCCCTCACTCCACTGTTGATATTGGTATCATAGACACTCTGTATACAGTCTGCTATAACACATTGATGTTATATTTGACTAACATCTGTCTATCCAACTCGACTCTCAACTAATGAGGGCAGAGATTGTGTCTATTTTGCTCCTCGTTTGGACCCCACTGCCTAGCACACTGTTTAGCTCATAACAGATGCTCAATAAATATTTATTGAATGAATGAGTGAATTTAAGAGTTTTCTAAAACATAACTCTGATTGTATGTTCAACAACTATGAAATCATGTCCCATCCTTTAAAGAAATTCTGTGTTGGCCTACTCAAAATGAACTAATAACAACCTGATTTATTCTCTCAGAATAAGTGCATTATAGGCACTTTGATATGTCTAATGTTTTAGTAAAACTTTAGAAAAATAAGTAACTGTAAGCTTGCACTACTTAGATAGGTAAGGACATGGTAAACTAAGGCAAGAACGTTAATCCTAAAATCTCTAAGACAGTGCTTTTTTACCCGTTAGACCCTTGCTGTGGAATTATATATGTAAATATTTTATATAGAGACAAATATAAACAGATTTATCTAATGTATAAAGAATAACAATTTTTCTTAGTATGCATACTTTAAAACATATAAAATGGATATAATAGTAATATTGACAGAATAGCTATCTAAATTTTGAGATTAATAACAACATATTTACTCTTTGATTTAATTATCTTTCTATACTCTACGATGTCATGGTCCACATAGAAGAACCCAGGACCCCTATATATTGTAGTTAGTCTATTCCAAAATTCTCAACTCACCTCAGCATCAAAAGACATCTCAACTAAAGCTGAATCAGCCACCAACTGGATATCAAACACAGGACAAGATTTTGGAATCTGAGGCTCGCTAATTAAAATTACCAAGAGGTTAAATAGTGTTACCCTGAAAAAAAAAATAAAGGCAGTTAATGAGAAAAGTTAAAAAAAATAGCAGTGACACTAAGTTTGCAGAAACTGAGTGTAATTATACTTACAAGTATGAAGCATTGCAGACCATTCTTTTTTTTTTAATTGAGGTATAGTTGAGTTACAATATTATATTTGTTTCAGGTATACAATATAGTGATTCAAAAATTTTATAGATTATACTCCATTTATAGTTATTATAAAATATTGGCTGTATTCCCCATTTTGTACAATATATCCTTGTAGCTTATTTATTTATTTGTTTTTTTTTTTTTTGCGGTATGCGGGCCTCTCACTGTTGTGGCCTCTCCCGTTGCGGAGCACAGGCTCCGGATGCGCAGGCTCAGCGGCCATGGATCACGGGCCCAGCCGCACCGCGGCATGTGGGATCTTCCCGGACCGGGGCACGAACCCGTGTCCCCTGCATCGGCAGGCGGACTCTCAACCACTGCGCCACCAGGGAAGCCTGCTTATTTGTTTTATATGTAGTAGTTTGCCCTCTTAATTCCCTATGTCTGTCTTGCCCCTTTCCCTTCCCTCTGCCCACTGGTAAGCACTAGTTTGTTCTCTATATCTGTGAGTCTGTTTCTTTTTTGTCAGATTCATTAGTTTTATTTTTTAGATTCCACATATAAGTGATATCACAGTGTTTGTCTTTCACTGTTTGACTTATTTCACTAAGTGTAACACCCTCCAGGTCCATTCATGTTGTTGCAAATGGCAAAATTTTATTCTTTTTTAGAGCTGAGTACTATTCCATTGTGTGTGTGTGTGTGTGTATATACACACACACACACACACACACACATATATATACACACACACTACATCTTCTTTATCCATTCATCTGTTAATGGACACTAAGGTTGCATCCATATTTTGGCAATTATAAATAATGCTGCTATGAACATTGGAGTGCATGTATCTTTTCGAATTAGTGTTTCTCATTTTGTTTAGATATATACCCAGGAGTTGGGCAATTCCAGTTGGAATTGATGGATCATATTGTAATTCTATTTTTAATTTTTTGAGAAACCTCCATACTGTTTTCCATAGTGGCTGCACCAATTTACATTCCTACCAACAGTGTACAAGAGTTCCCTTTTTTCCACATCCTCACCAACATTTGTATTTGTGGTCTTTTTGATGATAGTCATTCTGGCAGATGTGAGGTGCTATCTCATTGTGGTTTTGATTTGCATTTCTCTGATGACTAGTGATGTTGAGCATCTTTTCATGTGCCTGTTTGCCATCTGTATGTCTTCTTCGAATAAATGTCTTTTCAGGTCTTCTGCCCATTTTTTAATTGGGTTGTTTGGGGGTTTTTTTGCATTGAGTTGTATGAGTTGTTATATATTTTGGATATTAATCTTTTATCAGTCATATCATTTGCAAATATTTTCTCCCATTCAGTAGGTTGTCTTTTCGTCTTGTCAATGGTTTCCTTTGCTGTGCAAAAGCTTTTAAGTTTAATTAGGTCCCATTTGTTCATTTTTGCTTTTGTTTCCTTTGCCTTAGGAGACAGATCCAAAACAGCATTGCTACAATTCATGTCAAAGAGTGTTCTGCCTATGTTTTCTTCTAGGAGTTTTATGATTTATGGCCTTACATTTAGGTCTCTAATCCATTTTGAGTTTATTTTTGTATATGGTATGAGAAAATGTTCTAATTTCATTCTTTTACATATAGCTGTCCAGTTTTCCCGGCACCACTTACTGAAGAGGCTGTCTTTTCTCCATTGTATATTCTTGCGTCCATTGTTGTAGATTAACTGACCATAAGTGCATGGGTTTATTTCTGAGCTCTCTATTCTGTTCCATTGATCTATGTGTCTGTTTTTGTGCCAGTACCATATTGTTTTGATTATTGTAGGTTTGTAGTACAGTCTGAAGTCAGGGAGCACAATACCTCTAGCTGTTTTTTCTCAAGATTGTTTTGGCTATATAGAGTCTTTTGTGTTTCCATACAAGTTTTTTAATTGTTTGCTCTAGTTCTGTGAAAAATGCCATTGGTATTTTGATAGGGATTATATTGAATATGTAGATTGCCTTGGGTAATATGGTCATTTTAAGGATATTAATTCTTCCAATCCACGAACACAGTATATCTTTCCATCTGTTTGCATCATCTTCAATTTCTTTCATCAGTGTCTTACAGTTTTCTGAGGTAGGTTTCACCTCAGAAAACTATAAGGTAGATTTACCTCCCTTAGGTAGGTTTATTCCTCCTTAGGTAAGTTTATTCCTAGGTATTTTGTCTTCTTGATGCAATTGTAAATGAGATTGTTTTGTTTTGTTTTTTATGAAGTGGTAATTCATCATGGTTTTTTAAATTGACGTATAGTTGATGTACAATATTATGTAAGTTACAGGTGTACAATTGATTCACAATTTTTAAAGGTTCTACTCCATTTATAGTTATTATAAAATATTGGCCATATTCCCCATGTTGTATAATATATCCTTGTAGCTTATTTTATACATAATAGTTTGTACCTCTTAATCCCTACCCCTATATTGCCCCTCCCAGGATTGTTTTCTTAATTTCTCTTTCTGATAGTTCATTGTTAGTGTATAGAAATGCAACAGATTTCTGTGTATTAACGTTGAATCCTGCAACTTTACCAAATTCATTGATGAGCTCTAGTAGTTTTTAGTGGCGATTGCAGATCATTCTTGACTGAACTTTTGTATCCCTAGACATGCAGACAAATGTCTAGTGATAAAACATTTAAGTGAAAATATAATTTCTTGGTCTTTTGGTTCAGAAAAAATATAGTTCTAGAAGTTCACTTAGCTTGGAAAGCTTAGGGAATCTGGATTTAAGGGAAATTTGAGTGATTTAAATTATAGCAGTATTTCCCAAAAGGCTTTTTATGGATTACTAATTCCAGGCAATATTATAGTCAAAATAGGTTCTGTGGTCAAAGGAAGTATGGGAAATACTTGGGTAAGCCAAGTTCACTGGATAGCTTTACTACAGGACTTCTCAGAGATTTTATATCTGTTTATCTCTGGGACAAAGAAACAGTATGAAGCATTTCTTAAAACGCTTATCTCTTAAGTTTTTTGACTCGAGAAACCTTTTTTTAACAAAGCATTTCAGAGGTTTACTGTTCCACTAAAGATCACTAGCTATTAGTGAATAAAACTAGTATTAAACTTGAAGCCTTTTGATTTCAAACAAAAATGTGGACTGTTAGTACAGTCCACTAACGTACACTAATAACTCACTTAAATGTTACTATATATTTGAATAATATATCACAGTATTTGAAAATAAAAAGGCACACACACACAAAATCACAATTCAAAACGTGCATCCTGAGAAGCTGGGTTAGTAACCCTATTTTCATATGTATAGTACAACCCATGTATGGTTGAAAAGGAGCTGAAGGCAGGCCACTGAAAATATCAGTTGCCTAATTGAAGTCAGTATCAGAGTAGCTTTGACAGATAGGAGCAATAAAAGAATTTACATACAGGACTGTATAAAAATTCTCTATAACCTTAAGCATTCCTTTCATAATGGAATAAAGAAGAATATAAACAATCCTTGTTTAGTAATATTTGAGGCTTCCTAATCTTTTTACAATCATTTAAATCATTACCATGGTTAGAAGTTTACCAAAATTCTACTAGAAATATAATTCCCCTCGTTTCTCCAACTCAAAAAACAAGTCTAGGGCTTCCCTGGTGGCTCAGTGGTTAAGAATCCGCCTGCCAATTCAGGGGACACGGGTTCAAGCCCTGGTCCGGGAAGATCCCACATGCCGCAGAGCAACTAAGTCCGTGCGCCACAACTACTGAGCCTGCGCTCTAGAGTCCGTGAGCCACAACTACTGAGCCCATGTGCCACAACTAATGAAGCCCGCATGCCTAGAGCCCATGCTCTGCAACAAGAGAAGCCAACACAATGAGAGGCCTGTGCACTGCAAGGAAGAGTAGCCCCCGCTCACTGCAACCAGAAAAAAGAAAGCCTGCGTGCAGCAACAAAGACCCAACACAGCCAAAAATAACTAACTAAATAAATTAATTAATTAAAAAAAAACAAAACAAGTCTAGTTCTCATATCTGCAAAAGAAGTTAGAACATTGTCAGTTAGCACATCGCTCAAAAAAGCAGGATATGTCCTACAGGATATTTGCTAATGTTTGATTCAGGCTGTTTTATAAAACAGCCAGTCTATTTTCAGAAGACACTTCCAAAATCAACAAAGCACTCCATTTAGAAGCTTTTCCTGATATTAAGTTTGAATTGACATTCCATTCACTGTTATATTTAATTATAGTCCTTTATTTTCAGCAACAGCTTCATTTCAAAGTATCATATATCCTAGGCTACGGGAAGGAACTCTCAAATTCTGAATCACTTGCTGTGGTAATACATGAATTCAACCATAAGGATACTGAAAAAAAAAGAAAGGATTATGGCATATTTCAAGAATACAATGAAGTGGGTTGAACAAATAAAATTTCTACTTATGAAAAAAATAAAGAGAAAAATGCTGAAATGAATAAATGCTTTTTTATTTGCTCAAATGGAATTTAATTTGAAATCTATCCCTTCAGAAAACTCAATTTAAAATCCATTAAGCCAATAATAGATAAAAGAATTTTAATCTAAAATGGTAGTTTCATCCTGACTTATTATAATAGACTTATTATAGGGTTGACATCACACCCTTAAAAATGGTACCAACAGTTTGATACTTTCATTGTTTAGATTGTTATTATTTCTAATATAAGAATTTTTAATGTATTAAAGTATCTTAAAATACAGACTTTGAAGGGCAAACTCATGGTCTCATAAGTCATCTTATGATATTGTGGTAGGCAGAATTTTAATATGGCTTCCAAGATTTTCATCCCATGGTATATACACTATATGATCCCTTCCCCTAAAGTATGGTCAGGACCTGTGAATCTATTAGGCTGTCACTCTTGTCATTATGTTATGTTAGATGAGAAAGGTGAAG